ACCTTAATAACAGAAAAGTTTTTTTGGGTAAGCATCACTTTTTCTACCTTATTAAAGAAGAAGAAATGTTTAAAATCTTCCCTTTGAACTCAGTTAACCATTCTACAGCATTGCACTAAGAATATTTGACTGCCTCGGTTAAGCCAGCAAAAGCTTTTATTTGTCCTGTCCTACATTTTGTCATTTAATCGGTGCCAGGTCGTCTATAGCTATCGCAGCTCAGGGACAAGATCTTTAGATTTACTAAAGCTAGTTCTATAAAAGCATCAAAGCCTAATGCTCCACAGTGGTCAAAAATTCATTTAGAAAGGTTTAGAGAACAAAGAAAGAAAACTCCATGGCCCACTTCATCCTGACAGGATGTGCACTCCTGGTCTGCTCCTCTCCAAAAGACCATCACAGAGTAAGAGAAAGGCAAAGAGAAAGGTAACAGAGATGATGAGGGGTATGGAATAGCTTCACTATAAAACCTGAATGTATAGCCTAGCACTCATCAACCTGTAACGAGAAAAATAAGGGGATGTGAGTGGCATGGAAAAGGTAAATGGAGATCAATCATTCACTGTTTCTCATAATACAAAAACTAGGGAACATCCAAAAAAATTGTGAGATGGAATCTTCAAAAAAGGGATGCTGCTTCTCATAAAACGTAGTTAACTCATGCTACAGTAGCAGACAGCAAAGTTTACTAGGGTTCAAAAACGTGCTCAGAAATTCATTGCACAAAACCAAAAAAAATCTCCATCAAAAGCCTGAAAGAATAGCAAAGATATCAGTTCTGCTCAGAAGTCCCTGAATAGCAAACTTTCAGAGGCTGGGGGAACACACCAGGGAACTACTACCACATATTCATCTTGTTCTTGCACTTTTCTTTCAATGTTTGCTATTAATAGCTACTGAAGAGACGACAGTGGACTGGACTACCAACGGGTCCTTCGATGTAACCCAGTGTGTTCATTGTCAGAGAACTTGCTAATACAGTGACAGAGATATATAAATCGGGATAAACTCGTTGCAAAAAAATTATGCAGATCTCTCTCCAGATCTGCCCATTTTATGATGGCTGAAGGCATCCCTTAGAGTAACTTAAAAAGAAGTGAGATGCAGAAGAGCCATGTTAGGAGTAGGACGGTCCATAAAATAACCTTTGTGCACCGACTGTATTTGCATTCTGTCCATTTTGGCTGTAGCTGAAGGCTGCAGCTTAGTGTGATTGTCCAATCTGTTCCAGATTTCATAAAAACATGTTTTTGTAACTGTGAATTCTGTCTGCCTACAAAGGAGTTATGATTTGTGGTGTTAACAGTTTACTCTTTATCTTCTAAAAAGATTAAGTTGTTTAACAAGAGGAAATTCAATGCAGAGCAAAGACAATCTGAGTATCTCTGGAAGATGTCCACTATAAATAGTCTAGAAGGCAACGAGGACAGAGACAGAACAAGAGAGAACGTGGTTGATTTTTCCCCTCTAATACAACCGTCTGTGAGGTGATCTACTTTAATAATTCCCGAAGATAATAACTACTTACACTTTACAAAGCTGAGTTAGGGTTCAATTAATTTCTATCAGATTTGTGGCACAGAGGGTGAGGTATTCACAAGTACAAAGTTTGGGCAGTCATAATAATGATTCTGAGTTCTACCTTTATCTCTCACCTAGCTTGCTTGGTAGTCAAAGGGTTTCTTTAGCATTTTTTTTAACTTTCAATTTAACTTGTTAGAAACTTTACCAACACAGCAAACATCTGATGTTGAAGTTGATTAAAAAAAGTAATATAAAATAAATAAATAAACAACAAATACCAGGATGTCTTCCTCTTTGAATTCTGAGGATGCAGAGGATGCAGTGCCTTTACTTAATTTAGTAACAACAAACCAAAATATTAGACAAAACAGAACTACAGCTGGAACTAAACTGAAAACAAATTCACCAATGGCTGGTGTGAACACACCATCAAAATTTTAGACATCATCTACAATAGCTGGTGGAATCAAATGTGGCATTCGAATTGTTCCATGATGATTTGAGGAGTTGGGTGGTTTGGGTCCTCAGGACAAAGCACAAAAAGCTTGTTTTTGCCATTGCAGAAATGAAGGCTGGAAATATATCATTACAGAGACATCATACCTTGCCACAGAAAGGGCTATGATCCTGTATCCCTGAACTACTCTTCACAACTGGATGCACTGGGTTTTTCAAGATTTCCAGGCACGCTGACACAAATGCAGGAAGAAGACATTGCCACTGCTGAGCCATCTGCATTACTCCACTGCCTGCCCCACAGCAGAAGCACCAGTAACTGCAAGCCAGGAAACAACCCTGTCTCAGTCTCAACAGCAGCTGATCCTACCTAATGTTTCCACAAAACTTTTACGTTTCAATTAATTGGGATTTTATGATGCAATCACATCTCATAGGTAGTTTCCAATTTGTCCTAATCACATTTGACAGACTTTCAAGGATAGACAAGTCAGGCAACAGTGAGAGACAGATTGAGTAGATACATGGAAATCCAGAGGGAACCAAGTATTTATGTCAAGAGTCAACGAGTACCCTTGAGCATCTATATTTTACTCAAAATTTTCCATTTGTTTTCCAAAGCATGTCTGAAAAACAATCATTTCACATTTTGTCATTATGTTATTTATTGCAGGATTAGAGCACCTCTTCAGCACTGCTGGGTTAACTTCGTAAAATGCTGTGAAACCTGTCCTGTGTCCGTTTCCTTATATAAAACTAACAGCTGACCAAGTTTTCCTTCCTCTCACACCTTCTAAAAGGTAAAACAAAGGTAGAGAAGGACAAGCAAAAATCATACAGAAGTGATCTTAAAATTCACATGACTGCTTGAATGACAAGAGTGGCATTTAAGCCTAGTACGAGAAGATGAAATTGACTCTAACAGCTAGAAAAGAAAGGCTGAAACCAGAGACCCTGAAGCCTACCAAAGTCTTCCATTGAAGTTGGAAAGATTTTGCCCATACATACCACCCTCCTGACAACCTCCATTTCTGGCCATGGAGATGATATTCTGAAATTCCTACTGGGTTTATTAAGCTGCAGACAGAGCTACCTTTGCTGTCTGGCAGCGTGGTGACACCAACACAAATGATGATCTTAAAAAATGCTATAAATGACAAGTAAAATTACATAAACTCATCACAGGAATCACAGCAAACTTCTTACAGTCAGGCTGAACAAACTGCAGAAATTACCTAGTCTTTAAGCAATGCTACAATGTTAGCAACACACTCAGTGGGAATATTAGCTAATAGGTATATATTGCATATATTATCCCAAGAAGAAGAAAAACAGAAACTGAGCAAAACTCTGCCCCCAGTCAATGGAAAGACAGACTTCTGCTACACTTCCTAGTAGAGAGAAAAAGAAATCCTAGTGGTAAAATTCCCATATGTGAAAGACACAGCATTGCAGTTCACAGAGAACTTTCACCTAAGGTATGAGAGCAAAGACCCTCATTCGTATACTTTAAAAGCCAACAGGAAGACAACAGAGCATTACTTGCTGTGGGATGGAAAGCAGCCTTCTAGACCACTGCCCTTAATACACAAGTCATCCAGCTAGCGCTTAAACATCATGAAATGGCTGTAATGTGCTGCAGATTCAGATTCTGAGGTGTTTTACCAATTGCTGAATTTCCTCAAAATAAATCAATAACAACAGCTTTGCTATCATTTGAAATTGTTCCCAAACTGATCACCAACAGCTATCCATTCTCTTTTCTGTTGAGCATAAAAATTTATTTTATTGCTTTCAAAGAGGTTTTCCAGTTTGAAAGAAATACCATCAAACCTAGAAAAGACCCGTCTTTTGACTTGCTGGACTGGAGGAGCATTTGTAAAACAAGCTGTATCGATACACCCTGCAAGATGCTCAGCAGCTTCATCATTCACAGCGTATAGACCCTGTGCCTTCTGCGCCATCAGAAGCATGGGGCCAGAGTTATTTGTCTTCAAGCCAAGTGTTAAGAGAACTGTTTTCTTTTTAGTTTTAATTTAACAATGCAATAGCAGAAGTAGACGAAATGGAGTATTAGAACCTACTAAGCAACACCAATTTATTTATATTGTTAATGCAAAGCAGTTTAGATAACAATAATGTTTCTACTTGGAATCTTATTACTACAGAAAAAAAATCCCAGTAAAACATACCCTTTCTTCCCCCTCAAAAGAAAACTAATTAATCACAACCTGTCCTTTCATTATATTCTTATTTTAATCATAATCTTATTTTACCCATATAAAACTTTCAGTAACTGCATCTTCTCCTTCAATGTTTTTCTGTCCCACTTAGATTTAAAACATTGCTAATTACCATCCCCCATCTGAGTACTTCAGTGTATAGCCCAGGCCAAAATAATCTCCATTACCCTGAAAGTAATTAAACTATTTTAAACTTCCAACTATTTAAGTTCTTTTTATTTCAGTTTTTTATTTATATCTGATCCACTTGCCAGAATTTTGCTGAGCACAGAAACAGATCTGCAAACACTGTTAGGTAACAGGTGTTCAGACAAAAACAACTCCTGATTTATTTGCCATCCTACAGAGGGAGTAGAGAGAATTAATTGCTTTTCAGCAACAGCTAGCTAGCTAGCTAATAACAACACAGTAGACTAGTCATGTGAGCTCATACGATGCCTTTTATTTCTTGACTACCTGCTCTCCCAATGTCTACAGGTGGTCACATCTGTCACATAGTGGGAGAAGAGCAAAATGAAGTGCCACCAGCAAAAACACAATTGCTATGATCCTGGTGGTGCAAACAATAAGTAATGTTAGCACTTCAGAAAGGGTTAGGGAAGGTTAAAGATACCAAGCCTGTAACTAGGGTAAAAAAGTACCAGTTCATTAAATGCTGACCATGATTTTTTGAAAAAAATTAAAACAATCACAAGGAACTTTAAGCACTAAGGTCAACAACACAGTACAATCTTTTGAATATTTTATAAATTTAAAAATGAAATATTAATTACCAACCTTAATGCCAAAGTGTAGGTTCCAGGTTGCCGTTGGCTTTCACGAATGAGATAGCTTCCCTCTGCAACACTTAATAATTGGTCAGCTTCCTCCCTTGAGATCATCCCATGGAATCTAAGGAACAAAGACTTTTTGAAACACACTTTTTTTTGCTTTTAAATCACCTTTTCCTCTTCCTTTAAAAACCACCAACCACAGTAATTAAAAAAGAAAAAAACATAACTAACTGATTTGCATGAATCTACGGCTTAAATTAATCTCCCTTTCTGCCTGTATTTGAAGCCACTTTAAATGGGTTAGAAAGGCTTCCATGAAACAATATCTGCAAAACAAGTATACCGCTTTTTAAATCTGCCTCTATCAATTAAGTGTGTAGAAATAAATCCATTTTTTTCTGCTGGCTTCACGTGTTTTGTGCCAGTGGCATGCAATACAGCATTTTGCAGCACTCAGGGATATCATGGCAATTTGCTAAAATCTCAGGGATTGCATATAATCTCAGTAATTACTGGTGCAATAGCCTAGCAATACTACACATCTTTTAACAAAATAAACGCATGTAAGATCTGCTTTGTTTTGCCACACTAAATGTAACCACCTTTGCCTTAGTGGTCTGAAATAGAAGACGCACATATATACTGCACACTTATACACTTATATTGCACTTGTGATCCAAATCCTTTTTTTGCCTGCACACAAACATCTTTTGCAAAAGCCAACTGGAGGTGGGGTAGAAAGAGACAACCCTTTGAAAGTACAGAAACATATGTTTTTCTCACTTAAGGTAGCACTCAGTGATATCCATATCCATCAGAAAATGCAGCTGTAATTTTAGGTAGACAAAAGTAATGGTACTGCAAAAATAACCTGATGGTGAGCAAGACACACTACTGTAAAACACACAGAGAAACAAAGGGCCCAGGGCAAACACCTGCAACCTTTTCTGTAACTATTATAACCAACATGTCTGGATAAACCACTTTTAGAGATGTGTGTTACTTACTCTCTTCCATAATATTTAGGTCTGTTCTCTACCTAGAAGAAATAAAAGAAACTGTAATGTTTCGTAACAAGTGAATTCATACAGCAAGCATACTGTCCATAAAATAGTATTAAAAAATACAAAGAGATATAATGTGAAAGCGCAGACAAAAATAATCTACTAAATTTATCATTGAGTACCTTCACACAGCAGTCAAAGATGCCCTAAATATGCCTGCATGTGTGCATATAAAAGATTATATGCACAACAAATACAAATTCCATGGAGGTAATACAATATTAATTGGACAAACAACATTACAGTTTGGATGTAAGCCTCATGCAGAAGGTAAATTTCCTTAGAATGAATCATCAACTTTACAAATTAACTTCATACAGTGTTAAAGCCTTGGCTCTGCTGCACCTTCACAACAAAAAATCCCAAATGAATGAAATGCTCCTTTTACATCAGTGTAACTCCACTGATCTGCGTGCTGCTCTGATATGAAACTGGTGTAACAGTGCAGAAACTCAAATTCTCTGTATTTGAGAAGTATTTAATGTTAAGCAGGTGATTCTGTTGAATACACCTCTCAGTATCAGCACTTGTACAACAGGTGACTTTGCACCTTAAATAAAAGGTTGGGTTTTTTGCAGTGTGATTTTCAATTATTCTTTAACAAGTACTTTTTCCCCTAATCATCACTCTTGCTTATGTCAACAAGTGCAATACAATAAGGCAAGAGGAGCAATTTATGTGCTAATACCTTACCAAATTACATGTTGTTCCCTCCCACTGACCTCTCTGATGTTCTCTGGACCAAAATGCTCTTCCTAATATTTAAGAATTTGTTTATACAGCTGAATAACTCAACCACTTAGGAAAAGATTCTGCCCCCACTGACTCACGCATGGCTGCTAATAGGAACCCAGCTGAGAAAGAGCAGATCACAAAGCTCAACACTAGCAGGAGAGGCTGAGACCAGAAAGGTTAAACACATTACTGCTCGCTGAATACATTTTCACTTCAAATCTGGCTCAGCTGCATAAATTGTTCAATACTTACTATAAAAAAGTTACCTGCATTATAACGAACTAATGCAGAAGTAGGAAAATGCACACTGATAATGTATGATTTCAATTTTACCTTTATTAGGTAAAAATAAGCTTCAAAGAGCTTTTCTTTTATAAATTGATTCTTTGATGAGAAAATGTGTATTTAATATGCTCTGTTCTGCAGCTAAATATCTGCAACTGACTTGATTCTTCCACAGCTTTATTTTATTTAGTTCCATTCTCACTAGTTTCTAAAACCTGCAGCTTTTATTTCTCAGTTTCTACAACAATGTTCATGGTGCCAACACAGGTTTACTCTGCAGAGTTCAAGAAGCTATTTTAAAACACAGAATGTCTCTCTTTTTAATTTTTTTTTTTTATTATTTTGTTCACTGTGGCACAGGGGAATTTTTACACTTACTTAAAGTTTGTCATATGTTATAATCTTGTTTTGGAATAAATTCATAGAAATATGACATTATAGACACTGATGTGTTATATTTCTTTCCTCAATGGCGACAGGACTTAGCAGAGTGTTTTGATTGTTTGTGGTACTTTTGCCAGTACCAATGACTCTAGCAGACTACATGTCTAGAGGGTTAGACCCGGAGGATCTCTCTACATAGGGATGCAGTAAGCTCAGATAACCTTGGATGATTAGTTCGTGCAAGACACCACTCACCCACAGCAAATTTTCCTCCCTAAACCAGTCCAACTTTTCAATTTGCCACCAGTATAGTAGCTAATTTTAAAATTTTATAATAAACAGTATTAAAATTCAGTGAACTAGGATGAGAAAATTACAGTGGTCAGTGTGATTCGTATTTAAAGAAGCTTTATGCAGATGCTTTTATAATTGGTAGGCAAGAGTAGGGCTTTTGTTTGATTCCAAAAAGAAGGCAATCTGGGTCTGATCAATAGCTGAAGGATTTCCAGCACCCCACAGGCAGGAGACATTTTTAATTTTCAGATACCGTACACAGATTTATATCTCTGCATATCTGGCTGGATAGGTTAATAGTATTCTAAGAAATACTATGAAAGAAAACTTAGTATAAAATTTGTTTGTGACTCCTTATCATCCAGGGCAAGAAGACCTCAAAGCACTTCTCTGCAGTCAAACTAGCATGGGATATAATGCCAACAGAACTTACTGAATACGCCGGAACCCTTTATCAGTTTACAGTTTCTCCCTGACACTGTACAGGGTACGGGTGCATTGTGCAGCTGACATGCAAAACAATTACAGCTGTTATGTCATCTGCTGTAAGATTTCCTTAACTGTGCTGGTACTTTCCCACTCCTTACAGTTCTATTATGTTTTTTGATTGGTTTTTTTTTTAAAGAAACCAAAAGGTATATAGAAAAATTAAAGTTCTAGTTCTGTAAGAATGAAAACATTCACAACTGAGGCTCTCAAAGCATCTAATTGAAGAAACTGAAGAATTGTTGCTCATTACCGCAAGAGCCCAGCAACTTTATAGGCATACACTATAAGAAAGTTTGTCATCACAGGAGCAAACAGTGGCAGGGCTCTGAGAGAAGACTCAGCAAATAAAATACTGCAGTGATTGTACAGGCACGTCAGCACCTCAATCAACAGTGTCAGAAGGCTACCAAAAATCCCTCATACATTTTACTATATCCATTTACACACATACCACCACTTCCCCCACCACTGAAATACATTTGAGGAGAGGAAGGAAAAAGCCAGTATTCAACACCACTTAAAAACAATAAACACAATCCATTGCAGGCAGTGAGTAAAATACTTCATCCTGTTCAGGTAAGCACTCTCTACAATCACAAAGCTGTACTACAAGACTAAGCTCCTACAAAACTTCAGATATTTTGTATATTAATGTAATTAAAAATCCTATCATAGAGAACACACAAAATAAAAAAGAACCTTCCTAATAATGTTGCAATGGGAATAAAAAACTGGAAAATATCTAATTTTTTTCACAGGTGAGATCTTATATTCTATAGAGATCTCCTTCAAATCTCCATCACACCTTATTTGAGGTACATAACTTATCTGTACAACAGCCTTAACAAGAACACCCCTGCTTGGACCCTCCTTAACAGTAGAAAGGCTAGTTAAAACAAAAAATTTTGCTACAATGCTTCTTGTAAATTTCACGTATTGTTCCCTCCTATAGCTATGTCTTGCTTAAATGCAATCAGCTATAGCTATACCTTTTATAAAAATAAAAAACTACCAAATTAACAAAAGAAAACAAGAGTACTTCCACTAAATGCAATTTCACTTCCACAAAATCTCTGCTTTTTATCTTAAAAACTGACAGATTACTTTGTAGAATCACAGTTGGGCATTTGAAGAGACAATGGAACACCTGTTTAAATCTGTAATCCTCTCTGTGATCTAGACTGTAAGCTATTAATGTTCCTGACAGTGCTATGTCCCTCTGTATTCAATACTACATTGAAGTGACTAACACATTTCAAAGATTAATTTCCTTTCTCTTGGCACATGATAAAAATGCTTAATTTTTGTTGCAGCAATGTAATAACTTTCAGTGGTTATTCAGCAAGAGCTGTGTTTTGTAATACTGTTTAACAAGTCAAGCCTAACTTTTCAGCATTTTTGAAATTTAAGGTAATGTTTCCCAGGTTCCTAACTGAAACTGCAAGAGAGATGCAGTTATGAGTAAAATCTTGCTGGCACAGATGTTTGGTATCAGTTAAACCCTCCAGCACCACTGCTGGAGCACCTCTGGAGAAGTGCTGCTCTGTTGGATGGTAGTTCAGGGCATGCTAGAAACCTGGGGTCTCAACAACTGACCCCATGAACAGCTGCTTCTGCATCACTGTGTGTCAGCAGGATCCTGTAGTTACTGTTTGGATCCTTAAAACCTAGGGCTCTGCATAGCTTTGCTACTAGTGTTAATGAATCTTAAGTACTACAACTCAAGTAACAGCACGAGGGCAGGTTTCAGTCTTCCCTCCTGATTGATTGCATGCATCTGTCAGCGATGTGTCTAAAACAGGTGTGTAGTTCCCCTGTGCAGCTCTGCTCTTGCTTCTGTGAATTTCTGACCCAAAAGGAGGAGAAAATGAATGTTTCCATTTATCAGAGAACCAAAAACCAGTAAATGACTCTCAGGTATACATATCAGACTCCAAATGCTTTTTAATTCAATGTTCAGATCAAATGGATTTCCAGGTACCAGTGCCCCCAAGACTACTTACTCTAATCACAGCAACAAGTCTCTCAAGGAACCGTCGTTTGGGTTGGACACCAATAAGTATAGACTTGGAGCTGCTGGACTCTATAAAACTGAATCTTTGTAATACCCACCTCACGAGTGCAGGTTATCCTTCTAGGATGGGGAGCTTCCTGTTGCAACTGATACACTAAGTGAAGGCAGAAAAATTCTGATTAATGCAGAATCACTGTATAAATTAGGCATTTTAACATTAAATGTTGCTTTTTAAAAAAAAAAAAAAAGATTCTCTGCAAGATTTAATGCAAGGATGCATACATTAAGGTCTCAAACATTACTTACGAGTGGTCAGAAAAAAGAATGTTGCTAGCCAGTGCAGGATTATTTATTATCTTCACAATTAATTGATTGAGTACTAGGAGGTCACTGGGTAAGACCAGTCAAGTTTCCATCAAGCAGATCAGAAAAGGAATCATGATAAACCCAAATTAAATTTCATTATATATCAAATCAAGCTGCTGTCAGACTTCCTTCAGTAAGCAGATGGAGTCCCATCTTATTATGCTGATCACACACTCAGTCACCTGGTTAGGACTTCACAAGAATCATTCAGAACTCTGCAGAATCGAACCCTCTGCTTTTGCCACTGCTCAGTGATGACATTTCTGAACAAAGGAAAAAACGGCCTTTGCGTTTGCAGATCTAAAGACATCAGGAGTTGAGTAGCAGGGTAGAACAATTAGGGCTCAAATTAATGACATACACTTACTAGTATCTTCCTATCCTCTCTCCTCCCCACCACCGTTTTAATTTTTTATTTTTTATTTTTAAATGAGCTTCATCAAGCCACAATAAATCTTAGGAGCCAGTTGTAAATTTAATGGTACTAATGTGCAGACTTTCTAATATAATACCAAAGGAATGACTTTCAATTTCTATCCAAAAAAGAGTTTGGTTTGGCAAGCCACCTTCAAAATGAGGCTGTCAACACTAAGTTAGTATTTGAATAGTACTCTAGAACTGATAAAATGGACATTTGGAACTATAATCCTTTGAAGTAATTTTTCAATCATTAGTACTAACACCAAGATCTAACAACATGTGCTGTCACTTTCTTCAGGTAATAAGACCATATATTGACTTACCCAGTAAGATCTGACTTATTACACTTCTCATTTGATCACGAGTCTTTTGCACTGACAAATGCTGTATTTATGTGCTAAGCTACATAAGAACTGAGAAAATGGCAAGATGCCCAATGGCATGGCAATCATAAGATAAACTGGAAAAAATCACTCCCTTTGCTGCAAAGAAAAAAGTCTCATGTTTTTTCCTGATGTTACTAAAATCAGTCCTTACCATTCTGTACTGGTATTACAAAAATGATTTTTGCAAGCGATGAAAAACAGCACACCAGTATATAAAACAGCATTTTTTTGTTTCTAGCATGACCGTTTATTTGCCCAGCACACAGATACCCCAGCTTCCATTCTAAAAGTTGTATTTGATGGCACTCGCCCTTGTCCATGTCTAATTCTGAGAACTGCAGAGTTAAGTTCAAAGGGGAAAAAAAAAATAAATCAAAGTGAATATGGATTTCTTTGAATTTCACAAAAGGGCAGTGGAGACTCACAATCAGCTTGCTATGCAGAAATTGGCTAAAAATTGAGATTTCTTTCCCATGTTACTTCAAGCCAGGCTGAAAAGATTTTCTGAAGGAAATTCCTCTTCTCCAAAGGCAGAATCTTTCTACTCTTTCAGTCAGAAGCACAGCAGGTAGACTAGCTAAGTTACAAAACAGGATGCCTATTCCTCCTCCTCTAACTGATGTACACAATTCAAACTGTTCAACACCAGTTTCCTTGCTGTAATTAATGCCAGAGAAGTAAAACAACATTTCTCTTCATCCATCATGAGACACAAATATAACCAAACCCCATGAGTCTATGCTTAATTTAGAACCATGGGAAGGGTTCACCATGGGGAACCATGATGGTGTAGGAGAGTGTTTTGCACATGTATTTGCACACATCTAAGCCTTCAGCTCCTGGCAAGCTGCCAACGATGCTTCAGTATTGCAGAGGTTGGACCCCTCCTCTTAGGGATTACAGCATGGAATAAACTGTACAAAGAGGCAGTATACCCCGAGTTCACAGAAGGTGCAGAGCTGTGACTCACTGTGAATGCCTACAATCAAAATACACAGAGCTTGGTATTGCAATAACGATCAATGATGTTTAATACCAAGGACCAAAGTGTCTCAGTTTTATCTTTTAGCCTTCTGCTGCAAGAAAAAAGCTTGCTCAGATACTTCCAAGTGCAACTTCTTTAATATTAAAGTGGCTGACTCGGCATATGACAAGCTACTGGCATAATAAATGATGACTCAAAAGGCACAGACAGGCTTTACCACCAGATTCACAAACAGATCAAGGTCCCAGCCATCTCAATTACATGACAGCCATTGCCTCTGGTGGCAATTATTAAAAACCGTTCAAGGTCATCCATCTAAAGAAAATACTGAAGACAGACAAATTAAGTCTTCAGCCTTTTTTTAGACTTGTTGCCTTTCTATTTTCTTCACTTAACGTAACTGTATTTTAAGACACTCTGACATTTCTAGACTAAGGCACATGCAGTTTTGCCAACCCCTGTAATTTTTACTACAAATTTCACAATATCTGACTATTTACTTACAAACTAAGCTCTCTGAAATTTGTTATGAGACATTCTCATTTACAGAAGTAATCTAATGCTCATATTGCATAGAAGATCATGACTATGTAACTCATGATCACTTTAACAACTCAAAATTTGGAAACCAAACCCAAGCAACAAAGTTGATTTGAGTTTTAAGGCCAAACTGAGGTTTTTGAATGTGCCAGGTTGGCAACAGCAGAGATAGAACAGAAACAAATGACCTCTGTGAGTCATCAACAGAAGACTGGTCTAGGTGACAGAAGAGCTGTTTTTCTAATGCTCATTTAAGTCTACTACATATATTTTAGCTGACAAAGAAAAATTAATCTGCTCTCTTACACTTACTCTCCTTCTAACCGTGGTGTTCACCAAGGCTTTAAGACCAACTCAAAATCTCTGACCAAAAAGAACCTCCCACTGCAGGATGGAAACCTTTTTGAAATAACTGTATTTTCTCAGGTGCTAAATCCCCCCAACTTTTAGACAGTTGAGCAAATCCCTTTAGCCAGCCTGAAGACACCAAGCCTTGAGAATATATACAAAACAAAATGCAAATATGTCTGACATCCCCAAACTGTTAAGTGTGTTAAACACGCAAACATTCTGCTTTCAAAATCTGCTTTTAACAGTAGATTTTTCTTTCTTGCTGTGGTTCCTCAAATCTCAAAATTTCTCACATCTCAGCTTTCCTATCTGCAAAGAACTATAATTTAGAGGAGAGGCACTGTGAGAAGCTACGATGCTTTGCTACAGTGCCATTTTTCTCATGTATTCTCTTCAGTCTCCCTGAACCTCCATCAGCACTTCCAAATAACAGGTTATCCCTTTAAATTTTGAAATATAGAAAATTTCCATGTAAGTTTGGTGTTTGTTTGTTTGTTTAAATTAGAAATGAAACCCAGCAAGTTTTCAAACTTGGAGATATTCAAAACCCACTTGAATGCAATCCTGTGCAACCTGCTCTAGATGTACCTGCTTCGGCAGGGGGTTGGACTAGGTGATCTCCAGAGGTCCCTTCCAACTCCTACCATTCTGTGAAGTTGTGAAATTCCCAAGGAAGAGCATTGCTCTGCTCTCAGGGCAACGCGCCTGGACTACTGCCCTGCACACCTGCCTAAGGCAGCCAGCAAAACCAGCGTCCTCAGAGCTAGGGCACACGTGCTGAACAGCTACAGCGCCAAAGCCGGCAGGCTGGTAGGAAACCGAGCCCTTCTAGTCAGGGCTTCAAAAAACCTGCTTGTGATTTGTCACACCAGGTCAAATGAATGCTCTTGCTTTGCTACATCAGCAAATTCTGGGGGAAAACTATTTATTATGAGCTTTACTAACCAGCTCAAGTCTGAACTCTAGTGATGCAAGGTACTAAAGCACAGGAGCCCTAAAAGTGTTCAAGTGATACCAACTTTAAGGCATGAATAAAGTTTACACAAGCCCCAGTCTAGGCAGCCAAACCAGTATAAGCCAGGCCCACACAAGAGTGGGACCACTTCTGTTACTAAGGTGCAGAGAATCTGCTCCTCTGAATAATCTGCATTCACTTACCCCTGGGGATTAACAACTGTACCTATCTTTAAATAGTAATGAACTCCTTGATGCTTCTTAAACTCACATTCTGATGAAAAGAAAAATTAGTGTTTTAAAGCACACAACTGAAACTTTTGCAGCTCTGACTTGGGGGGGAGGGAAAAGTCCATTGATAAACTTACAGTAAGATTTCCAAACAGGTGGTCTGTATTCATCAGTATCTGAAAGAAAAACAACAAATCTTAATGTTGTGTTGGAAACATTTTAACACAGAAATAACCCTGCAGAAGCACTTGCAGATTTATTAAGATAAATATTGTACCTAGGTTCTAAAATGATTTTTTACTATCAGAGTATCGAACAACCTGTTAAAAGTTCCCTTTCTTAAACTGAAAATAAGAAAAGGTATTTTCTTTAGCCAGCTAGAATAAAAACTATAAAAGCACATGTGCAAAAGGGCAAACATGCAGATTGGAATCCAAAATACTGGGGTGGGGGGAAGAAGAACACCTATTATTCTGCTATGTATATATCCGTAAGTTCTCTTTTAAATTATACCAGAAAGATTTTTTTAACCTCACTTTATACTCTAATAAATCAGTTTTCATCCTGCCATTAGCTTTTTCCTCTTCTGGACAGCAATTAACAACTCCTAAAATAAAATCCCAGTATATAAGTACTATGAAATATTTTGCACAAAAGGAAGTGGTTTTTTTCCATACTGAGTACAGCTCTACTTGGAAGCAGTCAATATGTATTAAAAGTATCAGCATATTTCTAATCCCAAATTTTAATTCTCAAATAAAATTAAATTTTAAAAATCCCATTGTAGTCTACTACTTGGAAGCAGTCAATATGTATTAAAAGTACCAGCATAATTCTAATCCCAAATTTTAATTCTCTAAAATAAAATTTTAAAAATCCCATTGTAGTCTAAGTTCTATTTCCCTTATGACTTGCTGACAACTTATCTGACATTTTGAGCCCAGAGTTCTGTTGCCAGCTTCATCCCTGATCCACTGTTTAACCACTCTGACCACTTCAGTTCTGATGCCACAAGGTACCGAGGCTTTGTGCAAGATGCAGTGCTCGCCCGCCTTGGAGCTGGCGGGAGTCGCTCAGCACTCATTACACCACAAGCAGAGACACCCACGCAGCCAGCCTTGCACTCCGAAGGCCCTGCTCACTGCAGCATTCATTTCCGAGCTCTGCTTGCAATTGTCTGCTCACTCAAACTACCTGCTGCATCCAATAAAACCATAATTTTTAGTTTTCATTATGAGGTTATGTAAATATCAAGCAATCTGGGAACCTGTTGCTTGAATTTTGGCCCGAGTGGCATCTTCGCTTGCGAGTCCTTAAGGCCTCCAAAACTGAGTGTGAAGCTGGGAAAGAATTTTGTTGTGCCTCCCCTCAGGACAAGCAATCTGCTTTCTTTGGATACTTGCTTTAGTCCATCCCTCCCACCTACAGTCATGTCAAAATATCTCTAAATTGGAGCTTCGAGGAATGAGATATTTTCCAGTTGCATTGGCACAGACCTGCCCAGACCCTCCCCAGACCCATCCAGCACGCTCTCTGCCCTGCCTCAGCTACCATTTGGCTCAATTTCTCACCGTGTATTTCAGCGCCAGGCATGAAGAGGGTGCAGTCCTTATGGACCACCTTGGTGGTAGTGAGTTTTACAAATACAACTCATTATGACTTTATTATTAAGGCATCACTTAGTCAAACTGCCATCCCCCAGACTATGATGAGTTTTGATCTTTGCAGGGTTCTGCGGGACCCGCAGGACCATGTCCCGGGCATCGGCCCGAGCACCTCGCAGCTGCACACAGACCTCCAGCGGCCCGTGCGGTACTACAGC